AGTGTGTATATATAATTATGTGTATATATATATATAATTATATATATATACGTATAGCAATGTATGTAATGATGAACTATAGTGATAATTTGAGTGTCAGCTTCTCTGAACACGCAAAATCTATCGAAATAACTTGATATGAACACAACGATAACTAGTCATGTATGACAATGTGATGCATCATGGTTGTATCATTCTTTCTTGCATTTCTTTTGTGAAGATCCACTGCTCAAATGTACCTCTTCTTTTGTATGAATGTATATTTCATGCCGTTTCATATCCACAATCACCTTCTTAAGCTTGATACAAATCCTATAACACAAATCAATACTTATGAAGTTCTTTGAATCCTTGATTCGATATGTGAAAACAATAAGAAAATATTAAATAATATATACTAAAGCGTACAGTATGAAAAGGATACTCCAAGTGTTCCACAATGAAACAAATAATTTACATGGAGCTACATACTATCTTTTGTGATAAAAGGGGAAAGAAAAATACGGAAAACATTACCTCTATCCAGCTCATAATGCGAATAGCGTGTGTAGCGTTTAAAAGCGGCCAAACTATAATTAATGAAATATCGTAATTTTATAAAACTTGTTGCTCCACTACGTCGAAAAATAGACCCGTAAATACTGTAATAATTCGTTTTGATCACATGGCAACTTTTACACGCGTAGAATTGTATAGTGCACGCCTCCAACAACGAATAGCATAGCAAAGTTTACACGCGTGTTAAGTAAATAATCGCGAAAGCAATGATCCCCAAGTTTGCACAAAGCATTCACTTTTCAGTCATATATAATCATATCCCTCGCATGCTAAGAAACTCAATGCCCGAAAATGATTCAGGCAAGAATTAGGCTTCTTACGGACAAGAAATTCAACGGACTGATCGGTGGGGATGCAGGAAAGAGAACTGATATACAAATATTATGGAACCAATAAACGACAAAAACACTACCTTCGCACTTCGGCACATTGAATTCTCGAGGTTTTGAGTCTCGACTGCCGACAAATCAGCAGAAATACTTGGAAGGATCAAAGTAGTAAGTGACAAAGAATTGTTTCCCTCGATCGCAACACGTACGAACACGGTTAGGCCAGGCTAAGCAGCTGAGGGCGCTGCGATTGATCATTGCTTACGTTTTGCCAGAATGAGAAACCTACTTTTTCAAATTTGTTTTTGTTCCTTTTTACTTTCTATTTGCTCAGATATTTTATATATTTTTTTCCACGTTTTTATTCATATCTATAAAAGTATTATGTATACTTGTAGATCATTTTTTCATCTACAAATAATCAGATGCGCAAAAAAATCAATCCATAATAATTTAATGTAAATTATTGGGTAAAGACATTGTAAACTATAATGTTTCTTTCGTTAAATAGAAATTAAAACAGTTTGTGATGTAAATATTGATAAAATAAGACAAAGTAAAAAGTGAAATGTTAGGGTCCCTAGATTCCCACTATTTCGCAGTGCGTCCCCGATAGGTGTATTACAGAACACGAGCAGACTGACATTTGTCTTTTTGCTTTTATCTAGCGTGGTAAGGTACATCGTACTCTCGCGGGACAACATTCATTTCCTAATATAGAGATTCAGGACACGGTGAACGAAGGCACAGCATCATCATGGTTCGTGTAATTAGTCAGGAAACCTACAATGAAGTTGTTAACGAAAATATCGAGCAATTTTCGATGACTCCGAAGGAAGCAATAGAAGACGCGATACAACAATTCGAAGCTCAGGTACTCCAATTTGTTTATCTGTCTTTTCCTAACTTAACGTTTCGTGAAAAATGTTAGTTAATCTGCTGTAGGTTTTATTTCATATTGTATAATTTGTCATTTCGAAGTATAGTGAAAATTTTGTTGTCATTCGGCATGTAGAAATTATGAAATTTCCTTTTACACAAATAGCGTTCCCATCGTTATGTTAATGTTATCTTCTTCCATCGAGTTAGTTGTACTTCGTATATATTAATTGCATAGTAGCAGCATTAAATTCTTATTATTTTTATATTATTTGCAGTTGATAATTATACTTTCATACTAATAAAAAAGTAGCATAGATGTCAGTGTATTTTATTGAATTGGTTACATGTCAAAATTCAAGATGAAAGAAAGTATAATAATAAGAATACTAGAATTCAAATAATCTAGAGCACATTACATAAGTACATTGTTGTGCCATGGTTGTTTTTATCATCTCTATTTTTATAGGGTATAGACTTGAGCAACATCATTAAAGATTTAATTCTCAGTGATAACAATGAGTTAATTTCATCTTATTTGAATCAGATTAATATTGCTTTAGAGGATAAGAATTATGGAAATATTCATCATACATTAGACAAGTTGAGAAATGAATTAGACAAAGATATTGCACATAGATTGTATGCAGAGAAAAATGGAGCATATAATAGTTTAATAAAACTTATGAAAGCATGCCTTAATAATGGTACTGTACTCAAGGCAACATTGAAAGCTATTACTTCATTGATGACTGGTAATCCAGACCTGTTGAATGATGAGGGAATAGCCTTGCAAATACAGTAGGAAATTATTATTAATTATGACTAGATACAATGAGCAGTAATACATTATCTATATATTATGCCATTTGTTAGGATTTTAGATAGATGTCTAGATGTTCCAACATTACAGTGTCTTTTACGGTGGATAAGAGAGTGCTGTATAAAACACGAGCTTAATAGACAGAGTATTTTTAATGCAGATATCTTCAACAAGCTTAAGAAAATATTAATTCGTGATAATGCATCTGGACCTGAGTTAAGAGATGCTTGTGCCGTGATTAGAGCCCTAGTGTTAGACGATGACATCAGGCATGAATATGGGAAAGCTCATGAGCATGCAAGTGTTATTGCAAAGGGAGCCATCAATGTTCTTACCGGTTTGATGCCAAGTAAATAGTATTTACTTGTTTGTATATCTAAACTAAATTGTGTATACAATATAGTAATAAATGCCCTTTATTGCATGTAGGATATAGAAAGGACAAAGCTGTTGTGGGTGATTTGATAATAACTTTAGCTGCTTTAATCGTCAGAAATGAATTTTGTCAGGAAGTAGAGGATGCAGGAGGGCTAAAGTTTGTTATAGACGTGATGATCGATTATCCAGATTCAGAAAAATTAAATTGGCAAGCCTTGAAATTATTGAAAGCCCTTGCTGGGAATGACGATGTGAAGTCTCATATCATAACTTCAGGTTGTGGACCAATAATTGTTTCTGCCATAAGTAGAATGAAAGTAAGTTTATATTTTTGCGATGTTGGTTTTTATAAAGCATGTTAGCTGGTATTTACAATATTGTACATATATGTAAAAGGAAAAATTTGTTTGGTATTGAAACGTTAATCGAATCATAGGGATCTGAGTGTGTTGTGACTGCAGGACTTGCATGTATTTCCGCATTAACATTGAGATGCTCCTCAAACGCTGGTGTGTTTTACGATTGCGGAGCGCCGCTTATAATCATAGACGCAATGAAAGCTTATCCTAAAAGCGTGAGTGTCTTGAAACAAGCTGCTTGGGCTATCCGAAATATGTCTGTAAGAAATAAGGCAGAATGTTCAGAGTTTATTACTCATGGTGTAGAGGATGTGTTGAAAAGTGCCCATAAGCTACACGGTCCTAAACTCGAAAGTGACATAAAAGCTGCTTTGAGGGACCTGTGTCTGAAAGTCGAACTCGAAGAACGATGGACCGGAAAAGGTGTATCCTTAAGCAATGGGATCAATTAATCGTCACTACATAAATTTCTCAGATGTTTCAAACACATTTATATATTTTTCTTAGAAAAGTGATAAATATACGCCGGAAACTAACAACTGCCATTAGTATATTTCATAGTACATTATATTATTTATATTTATATTATATATATATATTGTTTTTGTAATTTGTTTTTTTATATACTAACAATATATTTATATGTCGTATATTAATATAAATTTATAATAAATTTTTAACTTCAGTACGATAAGAAATGAGATTAGTGGTTCACGTATTGTTTACCATGTTATCTGAAATAATCGCAACTTATAGTTGGTATCATTTTTATTGAGCAAATACATGAAATCTTGTTCGTCAACACACGAATAATATATCTCCGAAAATTTATTCGGTTAATAACAATTGCTCGAAAGATGCATCTTATTAGCTAGAAATTTGGGACAAACTCGAATTCGACTTTGTGATTTGCTTTTATAGTTTCGTGAAGTATAAGCTCGATTTTAATATTCTGTCGTTTCGGACTTTTCAGTTGTTTTTGAGCAAAGTCAGGTGTATGATATACATATATCCGATTATTGCGAATAACATCCGAAATTACATCCACGTTCAAACACATAACATCCAGGTATGATGTACACTGTAGAACATTGAATTTTCTCGATAAATTTATGCTCCCCATTTTTTTTCTGTACACATCTCTACAACAGATACAATGAAAACAGCTCAGAAGAAGTTTTCACAAAGATACCCCTCCGAATGTTTCGATAGCAAGTGGATCAATTTACTCGAGATAATCGTTATCACTTTCGAGAATTTGCAAAGATTAGAAACGCAACCAAGGATAATGTATCTACTTTATTCCCCGTATAATCGCGACAAAGAATCGGGCGGATTAAATTTATGAAAACTTCTCGCGTTATAGACAGTGATCGTCGAATATCATAGAATACACATTTACGACGAAGAAACTGCCCTTTGATTCGCGGCGGTTTCTTGCATCGATCATCCATTGTTAATTATTTTTCGTTGTACTTCACTCCTGCAAGAGACTACGAATATATCACAGTCATTGACGAGATCACATTTGCTGGCGAACACTATTGTGCCCGCAACGAATGTGACGATACAATAAACAGACCTCTATTCGGGAGAAGATGACCAAGAGTAAACGCAAAGTATCGTGAGATCGGAACTGAATCACAGTGGAGATTTCTACGTTTACTTTCATAAATCGAAGTGTACTTATCGTTAGAGATGTTCGCGTAAGAAAATATATGTATTTGATATATTTAAGAATTGACTAGAAGAAAATACAAAAACCAGTCTTTCGAAAATGAAATGGAACTACGTTGTCCTATTTAACCGCCGGTGATTGGCGGCTAAAATCGGTTCCAGTCCGTGCAACCGGTAATTTCCAAGTGACGAAAGAAACGTAATGGTCGTGTAAACGTGTACATGGTGAAATGCAGATACCGCTTGTATCTCTTCGAAACGCATGTCCTCATCCGTAAGGTACTCGTAACTTTTCTCAGTGTCGCCGGACTACTCCTTTCCTATTCTGGCGAATACAAGTCTCGCTGGCCATTTAAATAACACATTGTAGGAGGATTGCCCTTCGACGAGACACGTACATTTACCATTCACGGTGCGCGTCACAGCCATAAATATTAATACTCGAATAATAAACGGGATACGGTACAATTATAGATACAGAGATCTACCGTAAGTGCTGACGCTCGGTTGAGTAATCCTTCTCCAATCCGGCAGAAAGGAACTGACAGCGTTTAGCCGTGTAATTAGACGCGTTGAATCGGTAATGACCTTAGCCTAGCGGAACTGTTCTGTACAGATGCATGCAGTACACGTATTTCGGGATAGCTACAACGTGCTCATATGATATGAGAGAGGAAAGTGGAGAAAATGAAACAGAAAAGGGAACTGGTTCTGGGAAAGGTGGAAAAACGCCCGTCTAGAATAAGCCGAAAAAATGGACACTTACCTTGAAAAATCAGCCCATGTCGGTGTAAAGTAAAGAAACGATACAAGGAAAAACGGAAAGTTTATTGAAACGAATTGCAACAGAAATTAGAACAGCTTCTCGAAGGACACGGAGCGGGTCGAAATATGGCGCGGAGTTCGCAGGTTTCCTTGGTGGTCGAGAAGGCAAACCAGAAACCGATTTAATTGACACTGAGAATTGATTGCCTGCGCAATGTTCACGTTTCCGTTAATCGTTTAGAAATGTTACCTACTTAAACTTAACTGACGTCCATACACCTTATATACGAAGCCTTTGTACGCGCGACTGATTCGCCGATTAATAGTGTACGTCGAAGACCTCTTGAAAATTTTCTCTAGAACGTCGGAAATTAAATTCGGATTTACGTATACAGTATACCAGTGACTTTATACTTTCTACACAGACAAGCGTATATTTGATTCGATACCATTGCTATAGTTATTATGCTACAACTATGCTCGCAATATGAAGAATAGGCGAATCGGCTGACATCGAGCACACAGAAGAACGAAGACTCGTTGATCCTTTCCGCGTTACCTCGGCTCAACGGTCGATCATTTTGCCAGAGATCGAGCGCGTTCTCCTCGAGCCTGTTCCCTCGAAACAAGAATGCCACGATCGAAAAAGGATATGGACGCGCTTCCGGTTCTGACGCGCTGTCCTTGTCGCGGATGAATTTGTTAATAAAGTCAGGCTCGTAAATCAAAATCGCCGGGTCCATTCGACTCGATATGTTAATTAAATGCTCGATAACAGAAATTACGCGGCTCGCATCCATCGTGGTCCGACTGGCCTATACGGGCACATAAATAACGTTTTGCAACTAATACAGTCTACCTATCGGAGGGTACATCGAGAGCACATGCAGCCGTATCGATGGACACGTTTTGCTTCTTCTTTTCGTGGCGACACCAGACAGCTCGTGTGCTCGCTCGGAGCCCGTTTCGTTTCGCGTGTCCACGTACGCTTGTCTGGGCACAAGCTCGCAGGTTTACCTAAGTGGATACATGGGCGTACAGGTTTCGCGTCGAACGCGCATGCAAATGGGATCGCAACTCATCCAGGGGCGTAACAATGATAATCCCTCGTTCCGAGCCGACGAGCTCGTATTTATCGGTGCCTGCTAAATTCGCGGTATCGCGAGCGTTTGCGAAAAATCCGACAGGAACGATCCTCTCGCGATATTCATCGATACTCGCGTGCCTTTGCTCAGGGTGTACGTTCGCTTCGCTTTTCGTACTGACCTGTAACCCCCGGTGGAACGCAACGGGGTACAACACGGAACTAATGCACGGGGGAGGGGGGGAGGGGCCGGTGGTATCGATGCATTGACAAAATTACGCCCCTGTAGCTGTTCACGCGGTCACACAGATATATCTACACACGTAACACACGTGCATACATGCCGTACGATGCGAGTTTCTGCTACACCGACGCATCATGCTGTTTCGCGCGAAGACGCGTTGCCCTTTTCAACGCCCTCGATTACTCCTCTATATCGAACGACTAGTCGATTCCTCTGAATTTTGCGAATTCTCACCTACTATCCCAGTTTCGTTCATCGGGTTTAACGTTCTCGGGGAATTAAATAATCGTTCTTGCGCAACGCGCGGCTCCAAGACAGTAGAAGGAATAAAGCTATACGCGGGGGTTAGCTGGTTATCGTGTTAAATAAAATTATACGTAATACGGTCGTCTCTTTGTCACAGTCTTATTACTCGCCACGAACTGCCCCCGGGGTTCAGGTTTCCCGTTTACATTTAGCTAAGGGAGGGAAAGAAGGAGCTTAATCGAACACAAAACGGCCACGAGCATGGTGGGGCGAACCTGCCTGAAACGGTGGCTCGTTCTCACACCGTCCAACTACTCGCGGCAGCGACAGCACGAGTACTTGTAGTACTTGATCCGGCACAGGCCATTCTTCACGACCAGCTTGCAATTCACATACTTGTCCACGCACTCCGAGGACGCCTCGTAAGCTTCTGAAATCGGGCGAAATTTATCGGGACCAGTTGCGAAACGCGCGACACGGAGGTCTGACGAATAAAATACAAACTTTTCGGTGGTTTGCTCGACGACGGTGGATCCTTTTTACACGGCTCCAGGCTGCATTGTCGCTGGTCACTCGGCTTCGCCGCGTCTCCGCAACTCGAGCTGCTGACACCCTCGAGGATGCAACGAACCAGTCTGGTTTGCATTCCGGTGCCGCATGTCACCGAGCACTGGAAAACCACGTTGGCATTTATATCGATATTTATATCGACATTTATATCGGTATTTATATATCGAGGAGTCAAAAAGTCACGGCGGTCGAGCGATCGTAAATCTACGACGCCGTGGCTCGGCTAGCGATTTACCTTCGACCAGTTCGAGGTGAACCATGTCGGCGTGCAAGCGCTCGCTCTGCATACTTGCTCGTTGGCTGGCCTCGAGCTGTTGCAATTGCTCGCCGGCAACACGACGAATTCGTTTTTCGTCCTTGCCACGCAAAGGACTTCTCGATACTGGACACCCACTCCGCAAGACACGGAACACTGAAACCATATTTGTCCGGCATGTTCATTCGAGACGATAGCGCGTGCCGATCGGTGGCGTCGTTTTGTCCTCGGCCAACGCTACGAGAGATAGAGAGGTTTTTGGTTATCTGTTACTAACGAATGTCCATGGACCGGTGAACCATTTCGCGCTATCGCAGTTCGTTGCCCTTCCGAAACACTGCCTCTCCGCTTCCGGCCTCTCTTTGGGATTGCAGAACAGCTCGCTGCCATCGGCACAGGCCACTTGCCTCGTCTCCACTCCGCTTCCACATTCCGCCGAGCACTGTGGACGCAAGATAAACTGGTCGTCAACTCTTCCTTTCGAGCTTATCCGCGTTTACCTTCGACGACCACTCCGAATAGAGCCATGGCGCTCGTTGCTCGGCACTGCTCTGCCCACACGCCGCGGATTCGCACACTTTCCGGGATTCGGGTTTGCTCGACACCGGACAGTCCTTCCCCGACGTGATGCAGGTCACTGTCCTGTTTCGGGTCCCCATCCCGCACGTGGTCGAGCACTGGAACGACGAAAACTCGGTAAAATCGCTTGCATCGAGTTAGATCGCGTTTCCTGGGCGAAAGGAAGCGACGGTATTGCACGAGTATCGATATCGGAGAAGAAAAATAAGGACGCACCGGGCCCCAGGCGCCAACGTCCCATCTGGGTGTGTCGTGCGGAGAGTGCATGTGCCTGAGTTCCGGCCGATTGGTGCAAGCCGGTTTCGCACAGGTCTCCATGGTCTCGAGGTCCGGCGGTTGTACGCACGCACCCGCTGCCACTCTCATTGTCAAATTCGCGTTTAGTTCCTGTACGCACTCGAGCTTCCGCGTCCTGGTGCCGGTGCCGCAGCTGACCGTGCACTCGCCCCAGGGTTCGGCCCTCCACCTGCAAATGGAGCGTTCCGTTCGTTTGCGAACTTAACGAACGAGGCAATTTCGGCGATGGTCGAATTGGCAGAAGGCGAATTACCTGGGTGGACAGGGATTATCGTTGCAGCGTAACGGAAGCGGTTGCTCGGGCTTTCCCACGTTGCGACAACGCTTGTCGTTCACGATCATCTGCTTGTTCTCGCGGAAGCACTTAAGGATCGGTGTCTGAAAGCCTAAAAACGGAAGCAACAGTTGGTCGCAGTTAGGGCACTAGTTTCCACGGTTTTTTGCTGGATTCCCGAGCTCGGGATGGAATTTCTTTCGATCCCCGTTCGCAGGGATCACAATGTGCGCGAAGGGGTTCGAAGAGTGGCGCGGTATTCGAGGTCAGTTATCGCCGTGTGTCAAGGATGGAAATTAAGAAAGGGACCCGTGACAGCAGCCGCGACGTTATCTCGGTTGGGCCCGTATGGGCCGTCAGTCTAAATGAAAAAAAGTCCTCGGTGGTCCTGTTCGCGATGTGACATTGGACACGGTCGCGTGTAAGCGTCCCGATGTCAAAGACGAACCGGAGGGAGAAGCGGCCGTTGGAAAATAATAACTCGGACGTTGGTTACGGATGTGGGGCTTCCTGCTAATAAATTTCGTGAATTGGACGGAACTTCCGTGACGGCGATGAGCGAATCGAGCGCTGTAATCTCTCACGGCCCTTCGAACCCCGGTGATAATACCGAAACGAACGCGTCTCGACCGACTTCCCACGCACGCCTCGATTACTCCAGCTGCCCGTCCGTCGCTTCCTAGGGCCGGCTTTAATCGTCTACGAGTTTTCCTCCGACTAATTGCCAGCTCGATTACCGTGTCCGAAAAATCGGGTTCGTGACCCCGTAACGAGTGGCGCGAAGAATCGTGGCTAATTTTTTCTTCGTCTCGGTGTTACGCAACAGTGAGGAACGACGAAGAAATCGTTGGCAGATCTCGTACCTCCTCCGCATTCCTTGGAACAAGGGGTCAACCCAAACACCTTCCAAGCGAATCGTGGACGTTTCTTCTTTTTGGTCTTCGACTTGGGCTGATCACCGGCCATCACTGTGGTCGGCGAATGCTTCATCTCTTCCTTCCGCCCTCTGTCACGGGGCCGTGCCCGATCTTGATTGCGAATCGTCGGTGATAAATCGGTTTTCTGATTGGATCTGAAAAAGCAAACAGCCGTTCTAGAGATACATCCTCCTCTCTTTTAAATTATTTCTCTCGATCTAATTCGAACGATCGATTTTTCTTCGTAATTTCTAATTCCCGTAATTTCCTCCACGCGATCGAGGATATTTACATTCTCGTCATTGGGACCGTCAGAGCCACGTGGATGTCCGCATCGGGGATTTCGTTGCCACGATCGATGGACCCTGCGAAAAGGTAAAATACCGAATCACAGTGGCGATTTTAAAGAGCAGCCGAAGCCTATCGGTCTTTAGAAAAATGTACTCGATTATGCGCTCCTCGGCGAATGTATTACCTGTCACGAAAATCGGAGGCGCTATCAATGGCTTTCCATTGAACGGCATCATGTATTTGTAAAGCACTCCAGGGTTCATCTCCTGTGCCAGAATCTGAGGAAGCGATTTAAAAGTACAATACCGGTGACACGTATGCGCGACGTCGCGGTTTAAGTACAATACCGAATCGAGAAGCGACTGTGGATGACGCGAAAAAAAGAAGAGAGAGAGAGAGAGAAGGAAAGAAGAAAGTCGGTGGAATAAATTCGAGCGAGTGAGATATCAAGGACGTCTTTATGGGCGTACCTCTAAATGCAAAGAATCGTTCAGTGGCCCGGTCGCCAAGATACACTCCATGCGGTTTCTGTCACCCCTCTGGTATGTTAATGTCGTGCCAGCCGCTTTATAAGTGCCGCTTGGACTGTAAGCCAAGGGTCCGTTCAGGATGTAACTACCGTTCCTGTCTCTCAACGCTAACACATCAGATTGTTAGTTAGAAAAGCACAGGATAGCGTGGCTCTCGTAGGCCTAAATAAACGCGGTTTCGCCACGGTTTTACGCGAAATACCTAGGAAATTGCTACTGTAACGCAGTTCAGAGATGTTAACGGACATGGCTCCTTTCGGTATACTGGTCACGGGTTGATGACCCCGCGGCAGGATTGGTTCCATAAAAATGCCCTCGTACAGTCTACAACCTTTACCCTGACCACCGCAGACACCACAAGCGTCCGTCGTTACGCCGGAACCTACCACACCGTCGCAACCCACGGGCTGAAAATAAAAAGAACAGAGAAAACGAAAATGAGAGGAGCATTTCGAAACGCGCCTGTTCTACGCGCCGCGTTTCGCGAGGATGCTCGATCGGGCAACCGAGTCAGTCAATGGGTCGAAACGGTCGGAAAATCGGTGTGAAACGATAATATCGAGCGACCAGGAAGAACAGCGTAATGGAACAATGGCGACGAGAGAGAGAAAGAGCGAGTGGAAAGGAGCGGGAGGAACAAAGGGGACACGGTTAACTAGTCGCGTCGCGACCCAACCGGGTGTAATTAAAAAGATGTAAAAGGGAAGGGAAAAAACATCGCGTGCCAATTTGGTGGATCGTACCTTGCATTGTCCGGCGACACAGAGCCATTGGTCTGTGCGTTTCATAGAAATCCCGGCATTATGTCCACGAAGATTCGAAGCGTCGCAGGGTGTGCCGTCCATTACTGCCGGTTCAAGCGTTGCATAAAAGCGCTCGCCAACGGCGCGGCAGTTGAGTGCGCAAGAATTCGGTGCTGGCCAACAGAAATCGTAATTAAAAGCGTAAAAACGGGGCAATCCTTTAGCGGAGCTTTCGCTAAAACGCTCCATTGTTCGAGGAAAATGTAAAACTGAGAGAGCGGCGCGAGGAAAGGAAGGGTGGAGGGTACAGCACGATGGCCGCCATTTTTGGAATGTTCGCGTAAACGGCAAAGTTAAGGATAAGATTTATTCGACTGGGTTCTGCGACGAGAGGAGGTAAAGTTGAGCCGGAAGAAGCGCATTCGAAGCGTGCCGAGGTAATTAAAACGCGACGCTGTAACGTTAAATCGTGGACAAAATGGCAGGAGGAAGCAGCCAGCGAATTTAGCTTACCGTCCAAGAACGGAACCCAATCGTAGCTCTCGCCCTTGTAGTTTCTTCCGTTGTACTTGGCGCATTGTTCGGCCCGCAAATCCTCCGGGAAGTTCGGACATTTCTGTTGCGAGCAACGGTTTAATTAAACTTCGGGTAATTAAGGACCGTCGAGCAAACTGTTACGCGGCTACTCCGCAGCTACGAAGATTTTCGGATGGATTAAAAACGCTCCTCTGAAAGCGCTCTGCGCTTCAAATTTAAATAATTCCCGTGGCACGAACTCGACACGCGCTACCGTTCGAGTTTGTTTAAACTACCAACTGAATTGCACGTTTTTCGTAATGCATTTCGAAGCGGCTTTGGAAAGAAGCCGCGCACTCGGAGTACGTATATACAAGAATACACTGAAACAAGAATACCGACGCGTACGTAGAGTAGAAGCGTTACCCTGGTAATTTCCGGGTGGAAGATTAATTACCGGCTATTAAAACCGTGAATAGTCTCGCATGTTTGTAAACCACCGTTTCCGAGGCAAATCTAACCGAGTCGTGGCGCCGTGGCGGAAAAAAGGGACAAACGGTTAACATGCCAACTTTTTCACTGCAATGCCAGCCACGTCTGCGCGCGGAAAATTAGCTATTGTGGCTCGCATTCGTCCGAGAAGAACGAATTCATTCGCCTGGTCGGAAATAAGAGCCAGGGTATAATTAAAGATTATAGCTGCCACGGAAATAAACGCTCTGGTAGCCGCGTGTTTCTCGTCGATCCCGATCCGAACCGGTTACCGTGAAGCCGGTAGCTTTCGGCCGATTCGAAACGAACGCCCGATTTCGGTGCCGGATCCTCGATCCTCCGCGTCGTTTCCGTTTTCGACTCTTCGATTCCCACGATTTCATCGATTTCCAATTATACATACGCCTGCACGGTTAAATCGGCGAACGAATCTCGCCGATTGGAAGCGTTCGGGAACCGTAACCGGAAGCACCGCTCCGGCGAACGGGACCTGGCACCGATCCTACCTAGGTGTCTTTACACTTATGAAGGCCTAATAATCGCTGACGAGTACCCGGACAGAGGGCAAAGTCGTCCATTACCGAGGGAGTCTTTAACTCCGCAGGTGGTGATTATTCTTATGAATTTTAAACAACACCGGGTACTCGCTAGCCGGCCATATAAATTGCCGTCGTGCGCATCCTTAATTGGCCTCTGCGATGATTTGTTCGCGACTCGTGACGTACCGTTGAAAAGAAACCCTCTAGCGATCTTCGATATGCATCTGTTCTGTATGCCTGCCTACGACCCCATGATAGATGCAGTTATATCCTCGCGTCCAGCGCGTAAATGCATCCCTCCCTCGCCCTTGCACCCGATCCTTCTAACGACCCTGCATGCCTCGCGCATGTGGATTCAAGTGGCAACGAGAATCTATGAGCCACCTTCCGACGTTCTTCGCGAAATAGGTGAAATACGTGTTTTATTCCGTTTACTTTTCACGATCTCTCGACGATTTTTCGACGATCGTTGGAAAATTCCGAGAGATTCTATTCGAGGAAATTTTTCGCTCATCCGGTATCTTTGATTCCGCCAGCTAAAAATGTTTCGGCGTGCATACACGCCTACTTAAAGTGCAAACGTTAATTTATCACGCGTCTGCACGGGACACACCGTAAACATTGACTCGCGTTACGCGTCGCGTTGATTTACCTGCATGTTGCACGTGTGGTATCGCTTATATGTACCGATGCAAATGGGTCGCGAGTTGCTCGTGCTGTTCTCCGTGATAATGCTCCGCTTCCTTAACAGTCTCCTGAAACAAATCGGTCGCATGACTCGCGCTCATCGATCATCGATGGATCTCTCTCGCGGCGCGAGGTGTACGTTCGGGAAGCCTGAGATCAGGGGCAAATGGAACGGGTAAACGACGGCGAGGGGGGTACCGGAGTGACCCCCGCGAATCACGTGTCTCTACAAAGAAACCGCGATATCGTTAAGGCGTATAGGCAGAGCAGAGATAAAAACGCCTTCGTTTATTACCCTCGAGCGGCGTGGAAAAGTTGTTAACGGTACAACGGGTCTTAAACTATTTTATCGCTGACCGAGAAACTCGTGGGTCCACCGATAAATCCTTTGCGAAGTCACGTAACCACGCAGGTAGCGTTACAAAGGTGTAAATGTCAGCGACGATAACACGTTTCGGGGCCGCTCGCGCGACTCGTCGGCGTGCCAGCGTGTAATCTTCCTCTGCTACCGATCCGCAATTTCCTCGATGCTCGACGTTCCTCGTTCGTACACCGCAGGTGTCACGAGCGTGTCAAGGTTCGCGACGTCGAACTCGCGTAGGGACCCAATGATTCGCGGGGCCAAAGATCTCGCGGAAGGAAGCCGGCAACCGTGAATTTGTCTGCCCTAAGTCCAAACGATCAAGTATTCTACGTGTTTCTTCCACTATTTCGCGAAATCGTGGAACGATTGCTCACGATCTCCGGTCGCGTGAAACGTTAACGGTATCGCGGAACCCGTGATTATTGTTGGAACCTTTAGCAACTAGCACGATTCCGGGGTACACGGTCATCATCCCGGTTACCGTTTCCACGTGGTTTCTATTACGACAAAGATTCGTACTTACTGGTACGGCACGCATTCGCGGGATTGCGATTGAATCCCGGTGCCACAGGTCCTGGAACACTCGCTCCAGGAGCTCCACGGCCCCCAGGTGCCCCTTATGCGATTGTCTCGGCCAAGGGCGAATTGAGTCTTCTCCCGTAGCATGTGGTAGACCTGGAAAATGATTCGGCAGGTTTGCCTTCGAGTTCCATCGCCTGTTTGCCGACTTTCCGTCACAGCGAGACGAATGGAAGCTTTCGCGCGAATCATCCTCGCGACTGGAATCCATTGTCTCGCTCGAGGGGAGTCGGGGGCGATACGTAATCACGCGCGAGTCGCGACGTAATTAATTTCGTTAGAGGCACCTTCGGCGCGGCGGATTAATCCGTCAAAGGGCGGCAAACAGAATTACCCCGGCTGTTGATAATCAAACGACAGGCCTTTGTAATCCAACCGCGATAATTAAAAAAGAAAGGGACAGAGGGGAGATAAAAGCGCCACGGTACAAACTGTTCGCGCGATAATTAATATCGGCCCCCCCGTGATCGGGACGGTAATTAATCGAAAGACGAATCGATACTCGTTCACGCGGATGCAAAGTTACGGGGGACGGGGCACGAGTCACTGCAACCTCGCAGCGAAATCCGCCATTAGAGGCAAGAACTCGCGAAGGGAATTCTCGTCGATCGACGCGGAGACTGGATGACTGTTCGCGATGAAAATTCGAAATTAGCATACCCGATCTTGTCTGAATAAAAACGAAGATTTGCTTATAACGTCAGCCTATGGTTCCAATCAATCGCGATTGGACTTGGCGTGTTTTCCGGTCGAATTCGAAATTCGTGCTTTCAGGCAGAGAGAGAGAGAGAGAGAGAGAGAGTCGTTAACCCGCTAAACCGGAGTAATACTTCCTTGATGACTGACATTAACTGCGGCACGTTAATCGCGGCGTGCATGAACTTCGTACACATGAAACACGAAAAGATGGAAAGGCGAAAATAGAGAGGGACAGATGCGGCTGGGTCTCTGGATCGCGCGGCAAGCTGAATAACGTAGCGGCGTTTCAAGATTCTTTCCACGACGAATGATCTTAATCTCATTGTCCCGGGAGCCTCTCAAAGGGATTCTTACGGGCGTAACAAACGTCTGGACGGCGTATAAGAGGCTCGTATTACGCGGACGTTTTACGAGAAGCGAATTACGGATAAGCGACGTCGTTTAGGAATTCATCGAATTTTCCGAGATTATTCGCGACGAGTGGGAACAAATCGCTCGACTTATTTCGGACGGAATGGGTCTAGAGGAGGATACCCGGCCAGGTACCGGTGCTAGAAAACGGCGCGCTTGTTAGCGAAGAGCGATTGAAATTGACCGGTCGGCCAATCATTACGATTAACTGGAACGATCGTTCAAAGTATGTAAGTTTAATCGGCGATAAGCGCCGTTATCCCGGTTGCTCCGGGTTCAACAGGTTGCCACCAAATTGTCGGCATACCGTGCCGGTTAACTAGACCGATTGAAAATTACAGACGAGAGTAGATAAAAGAGGGTGTATTTCCGACCTGGGCCCCGTGCACCGGTTTAATACCGATCCGGTAACCCCGGGGAACAATTATGCACGCGTTGCTCGTTAAAACGATCGCGAGGGTCCGCGGCGAGGATGAGGCAGACGATCGTGCTACCGAGGAGGAACGTTCGGTGTTCCATCGTGTTTGAACGCGATATCGTTGCGTTTTCACAAACAAACGATGCATTTAGACGTGACATAAGTCGGTAACGAGACGCCCGCCGGCGTCTCTCGCGACGCCGGGACGCTTGCGTTTCGTGTTCGTCGTTTGCTCGGCCTTGAGAGTGCTGCCAGCACGGGTGTAATTTAGGAGGCTCCTCCAGTGTCGATTAATTGTCGTCGTACCACCCAGAATAACGTCTACGTAATTGCTTATTAATTCCTATAAGTGGATTGAATTAATATTCACCGGCCGGCCGTAAATTCCGGGCAAAATATCCTAATGGACGAGATAGCCGCGATAACGTTATTACGCTCGTAAGTTACACGACGATTCTCGAAATTCGACTCGAACTTTGCGTAATGAACACGTCTTCGCGACCTGGGGGGATATTTCCGTCGCGTCGAGCTGGTAAACACGGTAGGAAGAAAAATGAACACGAAAAGTGCACTCGGATCGGTTGGTACCCTCTGTGCAGGATCGATCGATCGATGGGCAGATCGATAGGCAGCCTGGATGATCCGAGCAATGGGAACTTACTTCGATGGGGTACTTGTCGGGCACGTGGGTTGAGGAGACACTGGCCGCAGTCAGCATTGTCAAAGCTAGAATCGATCTGAAACAAAGATTGGAAAGATGCCTTAATTAATCCGACGTAATGGAATGCAATTTGTTATCGCTGTTGTCAATCTCCAGGCGGTTTTCACGAGCGGCGACTGTTGAACCGAGCCAATTAGCCCCCTTATCGCGCGAAATATCTATCTTTCAGCTGGCTTCATCGGGTTAGACATTTCAAGAATGCGATAATCTTCCTCGGATGAGTAACCTCGCGTACTACGACGACGCGGAGCGCCGGTACCACGGGGACCGGGCACACGAGTCCGCCTATGCATCCGCTCGTTAATGCATTCGCCCCCGGTAAATTATCCGCGAAAAAGATCGTGACAAGGATTAATGCGATCGATACGAATAGATCGTGTTTAGATTGAATTTCGCGTACGAGCGAGCGTCTTCCTTCCGAATCGAACGCGCGATTAATTGAATACTCCCCGATGATTTATTCGCCGCGATCGCGGATTAATAACGATCCGGCCGATAATTTCGCGCAGATGCCTCGCAAATATATTTAGAAACGCGATCCGCGTTACCGGGAACCCCGCGATATTAAACCGCAAACAGAATTAAACGGCCCCGGATAGCCGGATGAAAATTCACGAGATCCCCCCGCTCGCCCCCCTCCGGGTTACGGCGTTTTTAGAGCGATTTCGCTCGAAACGAATAGCCGAGCATGTGTTCTCGATCATGCAGTTCCCGCGGCGGATAATCGCCGCCATAGATTTCGCGAGTTCTCCATTTTCACCACGCGAATGGCGCGCATACGCGTCTAGCAGGCGAGCGGAACACGCGCCGCGGCGGGCGCCGGCTCGTTTCGCCATGGTAATTATTAAAACTGCAACGGGGGGATGCGTCTCTACCCGATTCGGGTAGGGGAAATAGAGAGCTCGGAAAGAGAGAGAGAGAGAGAGAGAGGAGCGAGGGAGGAGACAGCGACGCTGGAACAAGTAAACTGTGCCACTAAGCGCTAAATAACGTTTCACTTGCTGCGTTTTCTTGGAAAGCTTAATTAATCATTACGCCCCTGCGCGGGGGAGGAGGAAGCTGAAGAGAACGAAGGGGAGAGGGGTCGGAGGAGCCAGACCGCCCGCAGTCACTGAAGCAGTCGTTTACTCGCGCGCGTGAAACCCACACAGCGAACACGCGTAAACGCGCATTACTGCGACGAAATCAGAAAAAGCCGTATCTTGGCTTTCCGCGCGATGTTCTCGATCGCGGGTAAAGCTGCGTACATACTGCCCCGTGTAAAGTGGAATGGGATTAATAGTCAGACACGGGGTCCGGGCGTAAGTAGCGCTTCAGGGATGCGGCTCAGGTACGAGAGGCGCACGGTTGGCACGTCAGGTGTGCCGGTGCTCCATCGATCATCGACGTTCAACGTTGCTCGAGTTGTTGGCCCGAGGATGATGCCTGGTCCCGCTCGAAATGAAAACTTTCGAGAAAATTCCTCCGCCGCAAGAACTCGAGTTATTCGTCTTCCTCTTCTTCTTTCCTTCGCTATTCCGAACAGGCGTCGAATAAGGATGAAAAATCGCGTCAACGATTCTTGAAACAATTTTCTAAACCTCTTCCCGTAGCTTTTAAGTTCGTTTTAGTTCAATAAAATTCGGGCCTAAATGAGGCGAAATGTAAATGCGCGTGATATTGTCAATTTTACGCGATACTGCTGTTGTGGAAGTAAACTCTAATCCTTTTTCCTTTCATAAATATTATAAATATATTATATTTTATAATAGACGACAGGTTTAAAACTGTATTTAGAAAAATGTCCTGTTCACGCGTCTGACTCGTGATACTCTAGTTTGGGCCGACTTTGTGTTCACGTGTCTGGCTCGTGATATTCATGTTTGGGCGAAAATCTTCATCACGAGTCAGACTCGTCGAAATACGGGACGGAATTAAAATCGTGGAATAATATCTACCGAAACGATATCCAAATGGACGAAGTTGACATTACCCAATACGAAAACGGAAAATAAAGGAATAGAGGGGAAGTGGAGGAGAGGGGGACAATAAGAACAAGATACGTCGGATAAGAATGCAGGAACGTGATTTGCAAGAACGAAGCGGTTATGCTATAGGTTTACGACAATCGCTCGAGCTTTATTGTCTCTCTATTGCGACGATCAATTACCTCGTAAACAAACATGCATCGCGGTCCCTCGATTAGACACGATTATCGCGAATTACGACGAAGTAGTTTATTATTCAACAATGACGGAGCTAGACAGCGTCTCGGTATGCACAGCGCCTAAGAAAGGGACGTTGACGGTGCATGCAAGCGGCGCGATGAAGCATCGCACTCGCCTGCAACTGCAAGCCGCTCGAGAGCAATCGTGTCCAGCCGCAACGGCGAACACGTGTTTCTCGCCATTCTTTGTAACGCTAAGCAGATCGCGGAATCGCCTTAAAATTCTTCAGCCGCTTCTCCTACCCCACTCGCTCCTACTTTCTTCCCTTCCGCGAAGAATCGTCGTCGTTCTTCGCCGCTAGGATCTTATCGCCGCTCCGTTTCGCCTGCTCCGAGATATTCCTCGGTTCCGACGTACGTTCTGGCACAATTTCTCGCTCCAGCTCTCTCGTTATCTGCTTCTTCGCGCTTCGCGAAGTGCACGCTGGTACAGACGCGAATGGGAACGAACGGGGGTAATTTCCGTGGCCCCCCTGCGACAATGGGTACAACCGCGTCCGCCATTCTTCGCGGAAGTCGTCGAAGACACTTTGACTCCTCGACTATCATGGTCTGTCGTTTGTCGCTGTTCATCGAATGTTCTAACCTCGTAACCAGCGCATCGAGACGCGTGCACTTCTTACCGATCGGTTTTTAGCATTCCTACGCCATTGAAAACAAGACCGACATTGTTTATCGCGCATGCGATGCATCGGCCGCCGCGATAGCCAAGTCGTAACGGGTCGAAGATACGACCCTCGAGCTACGAGACTGTAAGGTCGATAGGTTTCAACGAGAAGGCGCAGGAAAAAAGTCCATCGATCGGAAAAGATCGCGTTTCCTGGTCTCGATCGCTTCTGCGAAGATCGACCCCTCTCGGGGGAACGCGATTCGTTCCATCTCGTCGTTCCCTGGGATTTCGCGAATCGGTACAGGGCTGGGGACGAATTCTCGGAGAAAATTAATTCTGGTCGGTGCAGCGATCCGATAATGATCCTCCCCTCGGGACAATGATCCCACCTGATTAGCGCTCGCCTCTGATATTTCGTCGCAACTAGTTAAAATCAACGCGAGTGGGAGGGTTGGAGGTGCAAATACCAGGATCTACGCGACAGATACGTCGCGATATATCGTATTGATCATGGAGGGACGAGAAATCCGAGCACGATGCGAATTTCGCCAACGAACTTACCGATACCAGATCGCTCCTCGGTTTCCCAATATTGATAAATTTGAAATTAACTCATTTGCATCCAAGCATGAAATATTTCGCGAATCACGACTGTCGTCTATTGCCGAACTTGAAATAATTCGCGAGCTAACTTTGTTCCATTACCAGTTGCTGAATATTCTTCGTATGCCACAGATCATGTTTGATTCCTTTTGGGAGCATCTCACCTACGTCAGTTCATTCATCATTTTTAACAAGTTTAACTTTTGTTGGAAAAATCTTTGTAGTAGCATGAAGGCAGCCGTGGATTGTCCTGCTGGTTGCCTTCTCTCAGTATGCCGAACCTTTCAGGATACCGAGCACTTGGGTTGTGTAATATGGAGCAGTTTTGCTCGCGTACGCTTTATTACACTGATGATGATTTGGATGAGTGAGGTATGTGTGTTTTTAATATGTCGTCTTCGTCTTCCGTTTTACGTTTTATAGGGTGTCTTCTCCTTCCGTTTTACGTCTTCTGATGTGTACTGCTTGACTTCTCGTTTTCGTTTGATGCGATGTCTTCGAGTTCTAATCTTCGTCTGTCTCGTCTAGTCGTATTCTGTTTGGTGTCTCTTTGTGTTGATTGGTTGGGGAGTTTTGGAAGGACCTTTGTTTTGGAAGTGGTAAAATGTCAGGGAAGTTTCTCTTGGGTATCGTTTAGGTCAAGATGTATGCGTGGATGTCTGGTTAGCGTTTCGGGTCAGTCACACGTGCGTCCCGTCTGTTGGGTCTGGTCCTAGGTAACGCTGTCCGTAGTCTTTGTCTTTGAGTTATAATTCTTAATCCTCGAGAAGGACGGTAAGGCGCGTCCAACCTTTATTATTGCCGTCGCACCAATCTTTTTAACGCGATACAGGCCAGTGGTCAATTGAACGTCGCTGATGCCTGAACACGTCACCTTGAGTAGAATCTTGATGCAAATGGGTTAATTTGGAAATAGACCCCCAGAGACTCGCTTTTCTCGCAACTCGGTTAGACCTACATCGCGGAGATCTCGAATCGATCTCGAGTGGATCTCGAGCAGCGACGATTAAATGTCCGACAGTGGAGAAGCTCGCTCGGATCGAATCGGCTGGGACTTTCCAATCCTCGGTGGAATTCGTGCGATAAATGGCGGCGTTTGCGAGGGCAAAAAGCGGATAAGAATAACTGGTCGAGCGACGCGGCGTCGCGGGAGGCCGGCGAAATGATTTTAACCACGGTGGTCCAGGATTTTCGCCTGCACCAGGGGGACCAGGGCCGATACGTACGCGCCGGACACAAAAAAGAATGACCGTGAAATATGATGCACGATACACGTACGGCATTGTCTCGGTAGACTGTCGAGGATCTCCGGCGTTAACCGAGGGAAAGGAGCAAGAAGTCGCCCTCGGACAATGGGGGCGTGAGTCTCGAATGGCTGCTCTAATGATACCGGAGCACCTCGATCGAAGCATATAAATGCACGCGTTCCCGTGAACCTGCGAACGTTCGTGTTTACGCGTGCATTGCTACGCACTGCAACCTCTCTCCTCTTCCTCCTTTCAACCCTGCCGCTTTCTCCACCTCGCCTCCCGAGCGGTACACAATGGTACCGGCGAGGATGAGAGAATTTGCCACGCAGAGAAAGAGCAAAGTGTAT